CGAAATTTTAGAATTAGTCGCCGCTTTGTAACCTGCGTTAGTCTCGGAGCTCATGTATAAATTTTTCATAATATACGGAATTTCTTGCTTATTTTTTTGAAATACATGCTATTTGAAAGTTTTATTAATAATGTTTAGTTTTTAATACAAGGAAATTAGCATAAAATATACAGTTAGTTTCCCTTAATGGCATTTGGATTTACCGATTGTCATGGTTATTAGTGTATGTATGTCGTGTTGGGCTCCTGACTTACACGAGACGAACGAGACGCGTGGAGTACAGTCGCGTACGACAAATTGCTCAGAATAATTAATAATGAATGAATGAATGGACTGACCTTGGAATAACTATTATAATTTATAGTGCAAGTCATTTTCAACTATTAATTGTGTTACGGTTAAAAGTGACTCTAGAAATTCAGCGGATATTTAAAATATTTATTTATTACACTATCAGTTTAAAAATGTTTTAATCACCACGAACACGATATCTTGAGTGGTTTCACAAAGAACATTTGGATCGGTGACCTTCCTTATACTCCGTCCAACCATTTATCTAATTTTTGACATATGCATGCCTCCGAAGTTCCGTAATTATTGCCAAAGAACCATTGTATAACCATAGACGCATAAGAAGTAAGCAGCGTAGAGTTGGATTTAAGTCTTAAGTGTCAAGCTTGACGTGCTCTTAACCCTGTACCTGTCTATTAAATGAAATGAAATAAATTATAAATAATTATAATACATTTTTAGTGTTTAATGTAATGAATCGTCGGATGTTCTCCATATGAACGAGAATCATCATTAACATTAATGATTAATTCTTGAGCGCGTACACAAATTGTCAAACGCAACATCTCGCAATCAGGCAATGTCTTTTTTTTAACCCGCTCACATTCACGATTTAAGCTTCTTCATAAATAAAAACGATGGTTATAAAAAAAAACTAATCGAAAACGCATTAACACATCACTAATTGAATTCGAGCTGTCAAAAATTAAATAAATGGTTGGACGGAGTACAGATATTCATTTTTCATTATGTGTATGATTTTTCTATGTAAATGTACCTATCAATGAAAATAATTGAATATCCAATATCTTCTAAACAAAGAAGCGACTAATTCTACAATTTTGCGACTAGAACCGACTAATTCACGACTTTTTTTAGTGTGATCAGATCTAAGGTGTTGTGGGTTCTAGAGATGGTGCCGCTGGAATAAGCTTATTCCATGGTGGACAGTAAAACAACCTTATTACTTTTGACCGACTAAATCTAGTTTTTGGCGACTAGAACAGACTAAATAGCGGCTTTTTTCTGGCTAGTCAAAAACTCGACCATAGTCACTCTGGAATAAGGCACACTGGGCCGTTTATTGGTGGTCATACTAGCATTAGGGCTCTGTCACTCATTCGAGGTTACGCGATAAGTGCCTACCGCTAAGTGTATCGCCGACAGTGCAAGTCTTCAAGTCAATAAGTCTTTTATTTATATTACAATCCTTGTACAACCACAGCATTTGGTTCCGCGCGACTGCACACGGCGGGTAACGTTATTTTCACCTCTCTGAGCGCGTGCTTTAGGTTCCTTTTTCCTCGTTGTCAGCGCCTGGCGTCATGGCAATATGCGAATGTGTGCGTCCTTACATGGCGCGCGGCTTGCATGCACACATACCTCGCTGCTGCGTATGAATCGAGTTACCATACTTGTCTTATTTTAGTCTTTTTTTAATGGAACAGTATGGAGAAATCCGAAACCATAGAAAATACAAGGCACCTTTCTTTTTGTGAAAACAATTTTGGTATTGTAAATATTTTTGTCGCGCGGAAGTTGTCCATAAAATTGAACAAAATATTTGTGCTGTTCGTCTCGGTTTCGTGATCATTTCATTGTACGGGACGAAATAAATCGGAACAGCAGAAGTTGGTCAAACCCAAAATAAAATTGACTATATTTTTTTTATGCTAATAGACTCAGCTTCTTACAATGATGACTTCATTGTAGCGGAAGAAATAAATTGGGATAGCAGAAGTTGGTAAAAAAAATTCCATACAAAATCGCACGCATCGGACCTAATTTGCAACTCAAAATCAGCCTAAGTGTATCGGCGCGGACGTATTCCTATCTTTTATATTTTTTAGAGACCAGCGGGTTAACCAAGTGGCCGTAATAAATTAATTCCTACTCTGGCTAATCAAAGTAACCTGGACTGTCGCTCATACTTCAAGTACTCAAGCTTGACGTGCCCTTGACCCTGTACGAACACTTTTTATAAAACATTTCCTGTTGATATACTAAGCTATACATATATATAGTAGGTATAACATAATTAAAAGTATTTAGCACAATTCAATTGCGGACCATATTTGGGTAATTCTAGAACTAATAGACACCTATCTTGTGGTTCTAATTTATCTGATTACTTTTTTATCATTATTCCTTGATACACTAGATTCTAAACAGCTAAGCAGCTGATGCGTGATCACTGCATTTGTTTTTTTTTTATTAAATTTTTTTAATCATAATTTTTTATAATTCACCAAGCTTACAGTTACAAGTAAAATGCTTACATGCTAATTACTTATACTACTTACAGGTTTGATAAGTTAGATTTGTTTACATATTAGTTTACTAATGCTATCATAAATTATGTCAGCATACTAGACCACAGAGGCCAGATAATTTAGGAACATAAGTGAATGTGTGTGTGTTGGTCGGCCTGTACTGACATAGCGGTTGGGTACTAACAGATCGACATTCGGTGTTTCGGGGGTATCCACCAGGGATTACCCCGCAGGAGCAATACGTATAAGGTCCGGCGACCACTGATGAGACTATTCGGCAGTACTTTACTAGTTATGGCATTATAGTTGAAATTTCTTTAACTACCATTGTAGTAGCTACAATAACAAGGCTGCGGCATGATTTACCGAGCCGGCCGTCTCCGGAATGCCTCGGCAGCCTTCGGGATGCTTCGGCAGGCTTCGGGACGCCGAGTGTGACTGCCGGGCGAGGGGAGACACGTACCCCAAGGCCAGGAAGCAGGGTCAGGAAGACGCGAGCACGGTGTCGAGACAGGGATATAGCAGCATTGTTGCCGACAGAGTGCGTTTACATGTAGAGATGTCGAGCCGTCCCATCAGTGGGTGCGGGGCCTTAAATTACGAATCGAACTTCACGTTTTAGTATCAAGGTGGATTATTATACAAGAATTATAGAAAGAATTGATACACACACTAGATGCCAGGCTGCTAGAGCTGATGCATGAATATCACATGATATCACTGCACTTGTTTTGTTATTTTATATTTACCTTGGAACAAATTATTACACACTACGAACCCCACACCAACAAATATAAGAAAATCCATTTGATTGACTTGGCCGAAATTAAAAAAAAGTCCATCAAAAATCGATATAAACATAGATTTAGATCATCTAATGTTAGAAATACAATTTTACAATGTATCACTGACACAACACGGCAGATAAAGCAGACAAGTACAAAGGCTGTTTATTTCCATTATAATTAACATGTATGACATCATAGTTGTGTAATAGTTACGTGATATGACACAGCACCTCACAAGTCATCAGCATCAACCATTTCTGAACTAAGATGTATCCTGTATACATCATGACTTGTATTCACCATCGAATTCAATATTAGGTGGCTCCTATTTTTAGTATGGTATTGTACTATTTTTAAAAAACATATCTCAATATATCGAGTTCTTAGCTTTTCGCGATTGTTACACATAGGAAATGAAAATATTTTTCCGGATTTAAATTGCGTATATTTGTTTTTTTAAACAAACCGACGTTTCGGGCCCTTTACAGGTCCCATTCCCCCATCCCAGTCAACCGTGACCTTGGGACCTGTAAAGGGCCCGAAACGTCGGTTTGTTTGAAAAAACAAATATACGCGATTTACCGGAAAAATATTTTCATTTCCTATATTTCAATATTTTTATAATGAGTGAGTAACAGATAAAAACACGTATTTTATTTCTTCACTGACGATCATAATATTAAAATTTCAATGATAATTAAAAAGTCACCTGTATAATATCATCAGCTCGCAATAACATGGCCAAACAACCCTAGCATACAACATAACTTAAAGGCCACTATTTCATAATTATCTGAAGTTTTATAATGTTAAAAACTTTTTATAGTGTCAAATTTGTTCTATATAAATAAGAAATCTTTTGCCATGACAGGTATATGTTAAAAAATTGTGACCACACGGGCAAGTTAGTGGTTCAATAAATTACCTATTTTTTTTTTATAATTTAGCTATAAAATTTCATAAACAATGCTTAGATTAATATTTAACACTTAATTATAATTAATAGGTATGATTATCCAAATGAAAACAAATTTAAAATCACATTTGCACTGAAAAGATATTTTTACATGGTTATGATGATATTATTTTAAGTACCTGCTAATTTTTTAAAACAGTATTAAATAAGTGTATATCATTAACTTGTTATAAAAAGGATATGGTTGTCTTTATTAAATTACTTTAGTAACATCACTATTTATAATTGCATAAGTGCAACAAAATGTTCCTATAGGGTTGAAAATGCATATATACCACTGAAGTTTATTTATACTTGTGTGTATTCAATCCTTTAAATGCAATGTAAAAACTTATGTGTCTGGAGTCTTCTAGTCAGGTCTCTAGTTAAGACATTTTGTAAATTGATCTAACATTTATTATCATAGAATTCTATTTTTAATAAAATACTCAATCTAGTTTGCAACTGCTTGCCTCAATCCATCTTTTAACATAGTAGTTCTTAAACCTACAAGCTACTTAGAATTGAGGAATAATGGAACAACAGTTGTTTTTCTTTTCTAATGCCAAATGGTAGTTTTTGTTTGTTTCAACAAATAATTTATCCAGGCTGAACATCATGTTCAAATCCTTTTAATGAGACTGAGCAAAATTAGAATCAAAATGTATTGAATTTATCAGTTTTTGTTCTGAAGATGCTCAATTATGTTAAGTTTCAGAAACACTTATCGCTGGTCTTGCCATATAAGACATATTTGTCTATAATCTCATTAACCATAGCTTATATTTTTAGACAATGATATTAGTATACATAGCCAACATCGTCATCGCATATCTTATCACATTTGATAACTACTTACATTGTCATGAATTCAAACTCTCAAAGCAATCAGTTTAAGTATTCTTTACCATGCCCATTTTAGCTTTACAGATTGTCATATACCTGACAATTAATTTAGGAATTATTACAGAGGACATATTGTCCTAATTCCTTAGTACTACCATTGCAACTACTTATTGCCTAAAAATGATCAGAAAGTTAGTTAGCTATTCTCTTTTCCAAACCAGCCTCACGGAATACCTTCTTGACACAATCAAATACATCTTCTGGGCATACTTCAGCATTAATCTTCCGTACAAGACCTTTTCGATCATAGTGCTTTATGATAGGCATTGTGTCATGTAAGTATGTGTTGAATCTCTTTTGCAAGCTTTCGAGGTTGTCATCAGAGCGGCCGCTGCCTGCAGCGCCACGCCCTAGGCATCTCTCTGTGCACAAATCTCGAGAACACTCGAAGAATAGAATGAATAATAGCTTCGTCTTGTCCGACATGGCGCGCTCCCATCCTTCCAAGTTGTCTTTGTTCCGTGGAAACCCATCAATGAGGAAACGCGACTTACCAGAATTCATCATGGCCTTGTGGATAAGCGAGCACGTAACCTCAACCGGAACTATTTGTCCATTGCGTATTTTTTCTTCAATCATCTCCCCGTACTCTGAACCAGGTCGCTGACGTTCTTCTCGAAGTAAATCACCCGCAGAAAGATGCACAAAGTCATATTCTTTAGCGATGAACGAGCATTGCGTGCCTTTGCCGGCGCCAGGCGCTCCCAATACGAATACCACTTCAGGCAGCATTTTATGTAACTGTGTCACAAACGTCCGCAGAACGCGATACAGCATGAATTAACTGAACTAATCGAACTTAACAAGATTTATTTTATAATATATAGGAAACATGCGCACAGTTGATGTAAGTTACCGTGAATTTTTGACGTACGTAACAGATAATGACATTAGTAGAGATGTACCATCCACTAGACCAACCATACCAATGCAGCGAAAATCGTATGGTGCTATATGGTATACATTTGCGTAAGCAGTAATTGAAGTTTTAGTATCTTGTAAAACAATTGCAAAATACGTAGGTACTATATTTTGTTAAAAAGTCAATAAAAAGTTAAACTTCTAAAGCTCAAAATACAGATGCGACGACCGTGACCTTGTCAGTCATAGTCAATTACAACATAGATTAGCAAACTTTTAGAATTCAACTCTGTGCTTCGTTATTATGGCTAATTAGATTGAAAAATAATCTAGGATGATCTCTGTAACAGTTCATAAAAATCTACAATATAACGTGCACTTATTTTACGAGTTTCATGTGTTTCATTAACTATTTTATTAAGCCTAACTTAAAATTGAATAGATTAAACTAAAGCTAAAATTAATGAATACATTAAATTAAAAGAAAAAATCGTTGATTTGGTGTTAACCAAATAAACTTTTTTGTAAATCGAGTTTTGTTCAAATTTAACGATATTATTACGTAATATTTGTTGCTTTCTGATTTAAAGGTGGCATTCACTAACCTGCATTGCAGTCCGCCGCGTAATGCAGGATTATAAATGTAGTCGCAGCGTTCAAGCATCCTGCAATCCTGCAATGCGTCTCGCGAGTCTCCATACGCGAGCCATAAAATATGCAGGATTGTCTAGTGCAAGCATAGAAATAAACGGAGAAAAGTTAGACCTTGTTAATAAAGCAGTCTTCTTGGGAGTGACCTTAGATAGTAAACTTCAATGGTTTCCACATATATCGTCTCTGGCCAGCAGATTAAGCTCCGCTGCATACGCAGTCCGCAGAATACGTGAGCTTACCGATGTTAGTACTGCTAGACTAGTTTACTTTAGTTACTTCCATAGTATAATCCTACGGGATTCTCATGTGGGGTAAAGCGGCAGATATTCAACCATATTTGTATTGCAAAAACGAGCGATTCGTTCTGTGTACCGTCTAGGTTCTCGGGTATCTCTCAGAGAAAAGTTTAAGGAGACTGGTATCATGACTGTGGCATCACAGTACATTTACTCAAATATTTTATATGCCCGTAAACATATACATAATTTGAGTAAGAAAGAAGATATCCATAATATTAACCTTAGAGCTAAGTCCAAACTCATGGTACCACGATTTCGTTTAACCAAGGTAAACAACTCTTTTATGGGAACTGTATACGTTTTTACAATAAGATTCCGGAGCATATATTAAGTTCATCAATTCCTAAGTTTAAAAACTACATTAAAAATATTTTGATCGAAAAATCATATTACAAAGTTGAAGACTACGTGTTAGATAAAGATGTATGGAAAGACGACATGGCTCCAGAATCCACACAAATTTGATTCAAAGTGTATTCCATAGCATTTAATTTTAAGTTTATTTGAAAAGAGCAATCCCTAGAGTTTCTTGCTCGTTCTTCTCAGGGAGGTCAGCGTAGTGAACGAGCAGTAGCTTATGAAAAGACGTTTTCAAGTGTAAATTTATTTTACCTATGGAATAAATAATCTTTGACTTTGACTTTGTGTTTGAACAGTCTCCTGCCTGCGCGGCGGAGACTGCCGCCATACAAGTAGTGAACAGGCGGTTTTAGACTATTCGATTTGCCTATTGAATCAATTCGCTTGGCAGTCGCATTGAAATAAAACGATGTCAAAACATCGTTCGATCGTATATCACTTGAATCAGTCGATCTTCATAAAAATCGAATCGTAATGTGCATCCTTAGTAGTGAAAATCTACAGGACGCAAGGCGGATATTGTGTGGAGTCGCTTCTTTTCGTCGAATTTTTATATCGAAATTTGTTATTATTAATTATATCACATTCCGTATTCGTCATTTCCGCCCAGAGTTTGGGTACATTGAGATTTGACCTACTGCACATTTTGTTGCATGCAACTACCACGGAGACAATAGTTTGGCTTACATAAGCATCACATACACAGGTCAAACAACAAAATATTACAGGTGTTGATTTGCATTCTCGCCATATTAAAACAATTATAATATAAAAATTTTGCTAAACCATCTAAATATACTTAAAAAATAGTCTGGCTAATTGTATCTAGTAAAGTTTTGTAAAATTGTCCCGCAAGTGTACTCACCGCAGAGGACAGTGACCCCGCCACTCGCTTCACCGAGCGATACGTAATCTTTCTCGCTTATTTACCAATTTTTAAATCATGTTTATGTACTAGTATGGTTATAATGTACTAATTATTTACATGAGTTGGAAAAGTGGGCTGAAAAATATTTCTTGTAACTTAGATTTGGTACTTGGCAACTTTAGGTTACATGAATGTAGTGCTAGAAGTACCTAGCTCCACAGCTGGTGGCAAGCTCCGTACAGGAGCCAGCCACAGATATGCAAAGTTTACGTTTCAACTTAGAACATTCTTCACAACAGAAAAAGCAAAAGAAACCAGAGGATTTACTCGTAATCTGCGTAAATTAAACGTTTCATATCATGCCATGAGAACGCACTTTATAGTAATGCACATGGTAGCGGTTTTATTTTTGCACTAGCTCTTGTTTACATCACACACAAACAAAGTTTCATTTCGTGAGAAACTAGAACGTATGCGTGATTAACGCAGACGCAAGGTGGACTGATGATCTACCAATCACGCGCTCGATACGATACTCCCCCGTCTCTACTCGTACCCTACCACCAAATTGATTTAAAATGCATATTTTCTGCGCATAGATCATTGTTCAAATGGTTGCCGGTACCTGTGCCACGTGTAGTGCAAGTCAATGACTGGATCAAACTTGGTTACCGCAATTAAATAAAAAATAATAAGAATTTAGGATTTTTCAATTTATTTTTTAAGTGATTTGGATTCAGTTTCGGCACGTTTCGGATATAAAATGACCTCTGTAAATGTAGCGAGGATGCAAATCAACACACTGTACCGGTGAACAATAAATACTTTTTGGTTCGTTTTTATTGCCTTGTCTATGTTAAAAAAAAAAGAAGACCGATAAAGTATGAAACTTTATTCCCAACTAAGATACATTACCAACTAATTGTCGATAAAATTGGCAGATTTATGGAAGATGATAGATTCGCGACCCTCTCTTCTCCAAAGTCTCACCATTGGGTGGTGACGATTTCATGCATGGCAAAATAAAGATACTAACATGTATAATTGACTGTTTATTAGAAACTCAAAAACAAATAATCTTAATTCTTAGTTCAAACATTACTCGTAATTTATCTTCTTGACCTGAAACAATACAAAAATAGTTAAAAGTTTATCACTTGTGAGTACACAAATACGCTTGAGATACATAGTGTCAGATTAAACGGAGTTGACCTCAACAAGCATTCAGAACAGGTCTGTGATAATCATCATTTGATCAAATTTAGTTGTACTTTAAACAAATTTATGCTGAATTTGTTTGAGAAGAGATGCATACCATTTTATTTTGAATTCTTCACAATATTCGCGACTACTCCGTCCCAAGCCATACCTAAAATATAATTTAAAAAAATCATTATTACATAGAGGCATTCATCGAAAAAAAACAAAAACTTTTGGTCTATCAGTCCTGTTGAGCTTGTAAACACCGTCATGATGGCATCAGGAGAAGTTTTATCATCATTGAAACCAAATTTATTTATTTTATAGGGAACGAGAACCAAAAAGTACATTTGCACATTATTATTGTTGTTTACTCGTAAGTCATAAATGTAATCTATAATAAAAGGGTGCATGTTCCTGGCGAATCTACAGACGACAAAGATAATACAGAACTGAAGTAAACACAAACGGGGGTAAGCAAGGTTTCTACGCTTCCGGACTCATAATTCATGCCACCTTATATTTCCGGTATTAAATTACCCAAGCTCAAAAAATGTTTCATTGAACAAAAACTAATGTTCTTAATGCCATTTCCATACGTACTTGTTGAACAATTGAATATGTAAAGCCGGGGAAAAAGTTTTTCTTCAGTGATAACAATATTTTTGTATTCTAAGCCTTTGAAAATAATAATACAGGGTCGCTCGATAATTGTGTCTGGCAGTACATTATAAGGTCTGCAACCAGGTGAAGTGTTTTTTTATAATATCAAGTGACGGGACGAACAAGTAGTGCGCCTGACGGTAAGCTACAGGCCTGTCCATAACAGTTGCAGTGCCACTCAGAGCTTTAACTGGCAAAGATCTGAGGGGTACTGCCACTGCGCCCGTCACTCTGAGACGTAAGTTGACAAATGCCATGTGCCTGTAATTTCACTAGCGCGATTGCACCTTTTGGTTACATCGAAAGCCGTACCGAATAAACGAATAACACTTCAACACTAACGAAAAAAAATAGACTGACCGTTTATTTAGGTCGTACATGAAATCTAACTTAGTTTTCAAGTATATGTGAGAAAACCATAACTTTTAATTCTTGTGACAATAAATTCTCACATAAATGTTAAAGAAGTTTGCATTATTATTTATGTAAAAACGCCCGATAACCTAAGATAATCGGCCGACAAGCATATCACAATAAAACTTTATAATAGTGAAGTATACAGGCTATTACAAAAAATAAATACTTTTGCGTGCTCATTGCATGATACAATATTGAAAAGATAAAAATATTTTTACATAAGTGATAAGTTTACTTTTTATTCGTGCGTGCGTTTTATGTGTTGGCCATAAAAACATTTGAGTTACAGCGTCATAAAAAAATGAGTAAAATCTTTTGCACGTTTATTTCATGGGGGGACGTCGATAAATCCTATGGGTTTACACATGGGCAAATTCAATTGAAAATTTAAACATTGTTACAAAATGTACCTTTCAATGCAGCATCTTTGAATTTGTATTCCGGTTACGACACGAAATGCATTGAAGATCATCACCTGTAAATAAAAAACTTAGTTAACAAACAATCTTATGTATCAAAATATTGAAACAAATGATTAGAATATTATTATCAGTCCTGTTGAGCTTGTAAATACCGTCATGGTAGCATCAGGGGACAGTTATCATCATTTTTTATCACATTACTATGTTATACGCAAACGTTGTCACAAGTTTACCTCCCTGGTAAAGCAAAATAAGTTTATAGCAAGCGACGATCGAGCATATAACCAAAAATAGAGACGAAAGAACATTTCATTTGTTTGAAAACTATTCTGCCATATTAATCTGTGATAACTGCGCTCCGATTGGCCAGCCCTAATTCGAAACAATTGACGGGTTTCGTCAATTGTTTCACTTTAAATCGACCAGTTAACTTGAGCTTTGCTATAAACGACAAATATTGCAAAATTATATATTTAATTACCGATGAAGTTTGAATTGTTTGTTTTGTAATTAGATGTTTTGCTGTTTTCCCCACACCACCGAACGGAACAGCACGCAACTGTTGGAAATATTATCTTTATTACAACAAATACAGAATATTTTTGGAATATACGGAGACGCACACAGAGGTCAGTTGTTGGCCTATCTTTATTTCAGTGCAAACGAGAGTTGATATTTATAAGTAATGTATCACTGATTAGTTACCAGGAATGTATGGCCCTTATTTCGTCTCTATTTTTGGTTTATATACTCGATACAAGCGCCTAATCAAAAACATAACATGCATCCTTGGTGTAATAAACCCACATCAATAGGGCTAGCACGACAGGCTTGAGCGGGAGCGACATAAAGCGCGATAAACTGCTATTCTCGCACAGAGATCTGGAGTTTTATGTCGCTCTCGCAAAAAGGCCTGACGTTCTACCTCTACTTTTTTTTTTTTTTTTTTTTTTTTTAGTGGTTTACTTTTTAATTTAAATTCAGGTTAATATTATTATTATTATTTGTATATTTTATTTGTAATAGCCGAATAAATGTTTCTTTCTTTCTTTCTTTACTGCAAAATGACAACTATTCAGAAGAATCTTTAAAAACCACGAACGAAATTAATTGATAACATGTTTAAGGGGAGGCATTTCAAAGCGGAGCCTACATTTTGAGTCGCATCCCACAACCTGCGCGCTTAAAATTATTAATAAAGTAAGAAAAAGCGGAGAACATTTGACACAGAGCGGGAGGCGCGGCGTGTCGTTAAACCGCTAGGCAATTCGCAAGTTTTGCGGTAAATGTGAATTTAATAACTATAGGGCTTCAGATGACAACCAAATTTAGCAGGTTCTCTGTAGTGATTAAAGAGATATACAATTAATAAGACAAACAATTATGTGCAAAGGTTAGATAATTTATTCCTAAATAATTCATTTTGGGCTTTTATTTTTGCGTTTTCGGGATTTTATACGATGGGAGTAAAGTACATCCTATCGTATAACAAATTAGCACCTTAGACAATAGATTAGGTGTATCGCATATTTCTTATTAGACCATTATTTAATAGTAAATATCTAAACCATTTGATCAGCATTTTTTTCCCGCTTCTCCGGTGGCTCGCCTTAAATAAGATTTATAAAATTACACATATCGTCGGCGATAGTGCAAATACGCGTAACTAGCATTGGATTAGGAGTTTCCATTTCTATAAACTAGTGGCCAATTGAAATCCGCGTAAATGTGGTGGCAACCAAATTAGCGTGATTTACGGGAATCTACTGTTATCAGTCCGTAGACAACATAAATTAATGCTTACTGTGCAAAAATGAAAGCCTTAGCCTCAATGTCTATAAAAAAGTAATAACGTTAAATGGCTCTACTGTAATATTAGGGGTTAAAGTATGAAATTGCCGTTTTATTGCAATAGGT